GGTGCGTGCGCGCGGCGATGGACTGGTGCACTGTATTGTTACATAACAACTCTCGTTTAGTGGCTTATGTCTAGGCCCTAGAAGTACGTGAATTAGAGACTTAAATTCTACAGTATCTAATATTAACATCATCGGCTTCGCCATCATCATCATCATCGTTGAAAAGCGTGTGTGCGTTAAAAGTGAACATTTGCTAGGTAATCGAAATACATGAAGCCCTATGAGGACGATCGGTGATTAATGGGCGTGTAGTAGGGATTGCTGGTGACAGTTAGACCCATATTGTTTTGATGGTGTGTCGACACATCGGGCGATGGCTCCTGCTTGGGCTGTTTGAGGTTACGATGGTAGATACTCTTGTGATTCCGCAGGCTGTTTAGCGAGCTGTAGACGCGCTTACAGATATTGCAGACGGGCTCCTTGGTCGGGCGCATGTGAACATTTTGAATGTGGCGCTTTAGGCGAGTGAGAGAGGACAGATTTTTGTTGCAGGGGTCACAACGAAAGTCGTCACCGCCACTGGATGTATTCAGGCTGTTGTTAGCTGGGGAATTTAAGGCATTCGAATTGGTCGCCGACGACGAGGCTGCCATATTGGCCATGGCTGCAGCTGCTGCCGCAAAAACGTTGCCACTCGCATTTCCATTCGCAGGGTTTGCGGCACTGGCCGTTGGCAAGATTTGCTGGTTGCCACCTGCAGTTCCGTTGTTGGCGTTGCAGTTTCCGGAAAAGGGCGACATGTTAATGCCACGCATAACCGAACCTAAATCGTGGTTATTGTTTTGCGTAGATGACGTCGGCGACAAGTCACGCCGAACACCGATTTTATAACGGTCACCAGTGTTTTTATGATTGTTGTTGTTGTTGTTGTTGTTTTCGTAGTATTGGTTGTGGCGATTGTAATCGTCATTGTTGGTGTAGTGGTCGTAGCGATGGTTGTTGTTGTTGATCGCAGTCATTGGTGTTGAGTGAAAAGCATTTGTCGTCAGTTGACCTGACGACAAGGGAAAGAAAAACGTCGTATTAGCCCAATGTGAATTTGTATTGAATTATGAATAGAATGCAGTCAAAAACAACACAGGGTGGTGGGTGGTACTGAATATTTTACTAGCATTACATTTGATTTTTGGTTTGTTGTTTTTTTAATTTGTTTTTTTTTTGTTTTTTCTTTTCGAATTGAATTTAGCTTATTCTCAATTTAACTTTGGGTTTACTTTCTTTGGTTTGTTTCTTGGGCGTGTTCGCAAAATTTATTTCTTTTTTGATTGTTCATTTCCATCAGTATTGGGTTCTATAAGTTTATCTTTGTTTCGAATTCGAAACACTTTCCATTTCTCTTCAATGGTTTGCATCGATTATCATGCATGCTGGGGTTGAGGGGTTTGGGAGGAGGAGGACAACTAAAGCCAGTAGTGGATTCCTTCATAAACCTGACCTGTACACAAATTAAGTCGATCTGTTCGGTGTGTTAACAAAGCTTTTCACACCTACTAATGTGGGTGGCTAGGGGACTGGGAGGAATAACAACAACTATTATTATTGTACTGGGTGAGTGTGTGTGTGTGTTTGTTTTTCTTTTGACAAGCCAATTTTACATTTCCACCAATTTCGTGTCTTCTCCCTCTCTCACTCTCTAATCGATTAATTGTTTAAGAGATAGTTAGGTGGGCTGTGTGGATGGGTAGGTGGTTGAGTGTATATTTGTGTTTGTGTGTGTGTAGTTGTGTGGGCCTGGGAAGGTTGTTGTATTGTTTTTGTTGTTGTTAAAGCCATATCATAACATAACGATTTCTGTGTGTATTTTTTGTTGCCCATCACCATGTTGCAGTTTCTATTGCGCGTAGGTCCTGAAGAAGGAACATAAGTTCATCTCCTACATTTTGTTATGCATCCTTTGGACCGGAATTCTTAAACTTATCCGATGCGCGTTCCATATGTATGTACGGCTGTGTGTATGTGTCTCATTTCATATTTGCTTTTGTTTATTGTGTAGAAGGGAGGGGATTTTGTTAGGCGGGAATATTAGGGATGCTAATTACAAGTTAAATAGCTTTTTGCCACTGTCTGCCCCTTTCCAATTTTTGCCCTTCCGCCAATGGGAGCTCAGTTTAGAATCGACATATATAGTGTATGTAGGTGTGTGTGCTGTGTCCTTTAACCATAGTTTTTTATTTAATTCGACCTATTATTAGAATGGGTTCGCCTTTAAGGTAGCGGGTGTAGGTTGTTAATTGTGTTGCCTTATTCGCTAAATGAATGTTTTGACTAAACTAAATCATAACTTAGGATAGATAGTGCCAGTTGCCAGTTTTCACTGCGGGTTTTGTTGCTTCCGATAATATCAATAATAAAATACAATAAATCAATAAGAACTACTGTAGAACACAAAAGCAAATTATAAGCCGAATGATGGATCGTCGGCGTACTCCTTCAAGTGCTGGTACTGGCGTTGCTGATGTCAATGCCAATTATTTCCGATTTCGTCTTAGTCTGTATCTCTGAACTTAGCAACTAGAATTAATATCACAGCTGCAAAGCCGTGTCCATTTCACCAATTTAAACTACATGCGTATGTATTTGTGTGGGCGTGAGTGTGTGTCTGTTTCAGCTTATCCAATTTATATTATCGGGTTTTACATGTTTGTTTGTATATTCCGGTACGGAAGCATGTACTTTCATGCTGTCTGTTGGGGGGAATGAGCGGGGTGTTGTTCCTTATAATTATACCAATTTAAAACTAATTTTTATGGATAGAGTGTGTATGTGTGTTTGTGACAGGTTTGAAAGACTTATTTATCTAAAATACGAGCGAATTGCTTGGCAGACTGGCCAAAAAAAAAAAAAAAAAAAAAACAGTTCCCTAGATTCGATGTAATTCGGCACAGTTCGAATTGCATTGAAATCATTATTATTATTTTTGTTTGTATTTTTTTTTTTTGAATTTGCATGCATACAATACATTGTTATAGATATACATATGTATGTAGGAGGTGGTAATTAAAAATAATATTACGAGTTGTTGTTGTTGTGCGGATAGGTTTAGATGTATGAATATTGTGTTAAAATGATATGTCAAAGTAGATGGGGATGTATGAGGGCAAACAGAAAGGTAATAAATGTCAGTGGATGTAGGTGTGTTAGTGGGTGTATGTTTGTGTGTGTGTGTTTGTGGATACAGCAGTAGAAATGATTTTTTTCGGTTTGTCGCAACGGAGATCATACTTAGTAAGCAGTGTACAAGAAAATGTTGATACTTAGTTCAATATGTTCTTTTTCCTGCCGATTCAGAGAGAATGTCCGATGAGCCATTAAATTTGTTTTTTTTTTATTTTTCCAATATACATTGCACTTCTCTAAGGAGTGGGCGTCCTTTGGGGTGCAGTAAATGAATATTTTGCAACAAACTAAAACTAAATAAAAACAACACTCAATTGAACGGAAAAGGAAATAAGGAAGCATACAAAATAATGCGACAACGCTTGCTCGATACCAACGGAAAAAATAAACACAAATAAATGATCGGTCTAGTTATACGTTAAGGATGATTATTACACACATTCATGTTTAGATTAACGACGTCGACGACGGGATAAAAAAAAAACAAAATCAAAAAATAGTGTTTTGCACACAGATGTGACAACATGATACTCTTAACTCAAACACAACTAATCTAAACTAAGGATGGAACTGAAACTAAATAACAGAGGTAAAGTAAAATAAAGTAACTATTTCGAAATAGATACGACGGCATTCGCGCAGAACGACGTCAATTCCGTTCTTGGCGTGGGTACATCGCACATCGATGTGTACTCATTGAGGGGGGATATGCAGATGACGAAATAATAATAAATACGAATAGGAGATTGCGAATCGTATGATATGAGGTGGAAACGCACACAACAACTTTTAATGTTAGCCCTTACATCCAATCGACCAGATTCACATTTGGATTGGGGTCAAATTGACTCAATGTGTGTTTTGGGGAGGAGGGTGGATGTGTGTATGCAGTAAGTGTGCGACGTATGGTATTTAGGTATTTAGGTATGTGGTATGTGGAAATCCAAATGAACAATGAAGGAGAAACAAAGCTTTAACAAAATAAAAATTGCATTAACGTGTAATCGAGGCGAAAACTCAAAGTGAACGAATACGAACGGATTAGTACACAAATAGACATTTTATGGGGGAATAACAAAAAATATATATTTTCATTTGTCTCTTCCGGCGCTCCACTGCGGACAGTAGTGCTGTGGACATGATTCGGCGTTTGATGTTAACGTTATCCGATTAGTTGAGAATGTTTTAATGCAAACGCCTCAACTTTCTTCGTCGACAAAAATGTAAATCAAGTTTTATTTAAAAACAGAAATGAAATTAAAAGTAAAAAATGTCGACACAAAACTCAATGAAAACTGAAGGACTTCGTTAGACTCTCGCATGCGTGACCAAACATTATTCCTCCCATTTGCCCCAGAGAAGAGCGGACGCGCATCCCTTCAATTTTCATAGGGTCTTTGTCGCTTCAAGGCATCAAGTGACGGAAATAACTGAAATCGTTCCACATTTTAAACAATCAAACAAGAAAGAAATTTATCTTCGACGGCCGCTCTTCGGAGCAGCCGGCCGGATCAACTAACGATTATCGGTAACTATAAGGGCGAACGTGGCCACAGGCCAGCGAACAAACAGGGAACACCTGATGTGTGTGTGAGTGTGTTCCGTCTTTGTGTCGCGGCGATTTAGTTTGGAAATTATGTTTTACTGAATGGATGCGTTGAGAAGTGATGAATTGTTCGGATTCTCGATTGCGATTTCAATTTCGTTACGAGTTATCAAGAAATTAAAACAAAAATAAACCAAAAGTTAAATAAAGAATATCAATATCAAAATTATTGGAGATAATTAACCAAAAAGTTACATTTAAAAAAGAGAATTTTGTACGCATTGATGTAAATAATGTCAATGAGTTGTAAGCAAGGAGAAAGTGGCATGGGACTCACCTTGGGGGGAAGCGGCTATGTCCGCGGCCGAGGGCATTTGCGAGTTGAGACCTGTAATGGGGTAGAAGGTGGGGGTGTTAAGGTCACATGATTTGAAACGATTTCACGTCGATGTCTCAGAAAAATACTTACTGGCAAATGCTGCTGGGTCTAGGTTGCCCATGGGAAATGTGAAGGGCGCCGACGGAAAGAGCTTGGACTCGGCTGGCGAGATTAGAAAGGGAGCCGAGGGCGGATGTGGTGGCATCGTATTTTCAATTTCCTCATCGTTGACCGAGCTGTAAGAAAGGAGTCAATTCTTAAGTATGTATTTTTTGGGAGGATCACTTTCGCGTTCTACCTCAAGGAGCCTTTGCCGCAATCTACACTGCCCACCCGAAGTTGTTCATTTTCCGCATTTGAATCGTTACTGTGCTCATCGTTGTTATTGCTGCATACTAATTCCATTGGTTCCGATTTAACATCTTCGGCTCTACGGGCCAGGGGTGAAGGTGTGAGGCTTTCGCCTTTGTCACCCGTCGTTATACCATTGCCATTAGCGCTAGCATTCGAGCTATTGCCGCTGTTTCCTGTAGCATTCATCGAGGAACCATTGCCTGTTGGAAGGGGGAAATTGGGATTAGTTCGGCCGCCCGTGGCATCGATCATTTACTTACGTTTTTCATCTTTGGGTGGGGGCGAGTTGTTGTTGTTGTGTTTCATGGTTGAGAAATCTGTGGGTGTCAACTGGGGGGAAGTGCTCCGAGGATGGACAATGTCGGGACTATTAGTGTTGCTGGGTGGTATGCCATTGTCGGGACCACGCATTCGCTTCAACGCGTTGGTGGGATCTTCGGCAGACGACGTTGAATTGTTGTGTTCACGCCTCAACATACCAATTCTCTTGAAGAACGGCATCTGTGTGGGCGGTAATGGAGGCGGTGGTGACACCGCATTACGCTGGTATAGTGGCGAATCCTCGGACATGGATGTGTGTAGTGGATTCAAAGGGGTGCGCACTCCTGAATTGGCCAAGTTTTGTATTTGTGCTAATTGCTGCGGACAAAGACAACAAATATGAGAATTTTCCACTTAACCTTATTATAATCTTGGAATGCTTACACTATGGGTTTCTTCGGCCTGTTGTTGTGTTAGCCCCGAAACTCTCAAAACTTCCGCTGTCTTAAGAAACGACTGCAGTGACTTTTGATGGACATTGACTTCGCCGTGGTAAATGAATTCGACCAACGAATGTAGATCGTTGAAATTTACATCCTGCAATAGTATCACTGGATGTTTGCAGGGTGTACTCTGGAAAAAGTGTTGAACATTAAATATTAGCACAGAGCAATAGAATATGTTAAGCGAATGTAAAAATAAGTCTAATATTCTCGATGAACATGCCACCGAAATTGGATATGCATTAGATATGGTACGTCAGAAATAGGGACGTAAATGACATACATTTCCAACGGATAATACAACGTCAGAAACGTCTGTAATTTCCATATTAGTGAATATGGAAATTACACATGCTTCAATAGAATATATATAGATTTTCAAAATTTTATTCCCAAACTAAATTTTAATTTTTTTTTATAACTAGTATAGGACCCCATACACCATTTGAAGTTGTCACGCTTATTACGTTTGGTGTTATTGTAGTACGCCAGTTCTAGTAGACGTAGTCGTGGGCGTTGTCGTACTTCTTTTTTGGTCGGTATTAAGTAAAATTCACGACTACACCAAATTTTGTAGTAGATTTTTCCTTTATTCTGGTTTTTATGTATTCTGTGGGGTAAGGGCACTTTTTTTAGTATCTCCTACTTTTCATTATTTACGTTGCGGTGATATTCTGCGCCACCAGCGCTGTTTGTTGTTCAAGAAGAATTGGGTCATGCGTCAAGCGAGATATTTGTGTATGTAGCTTTGTTATACACCACTAACACACACAGATGCACCCATCCATCCACTCCATGCTGATCGTTACAATGTGTCGTGTAAGTCACAATGTAGCTGACTTTTTTCTCCTCCTTCTTCTTCTTCGTTTTCTTTGTGAAATGAGGTCATCTGATCGACACGAATCTTGTTTATTAAACTGCACACACACATATTTGGATCACACACACACATCGGTATGAACAGGGCAAACAAGTAAGATGTACTCATGTCGATTTAGTTTATGGAGGTAGCATTAGCCTCTGAAGTACCATTGTGCCATGGTAGCTGAAAACGTCAATGGTGTACCAACTATTGGACACTTGCTCGCAGTTTGGAACACTGAAAGTGCGACAGCTTGCTTTTTATCGGAGGCCTGGAGAGCGAATTAAAATAAAAATTCTGCTTTTTCTTGGCTCTGTGTGCCGTCCCAATTGTTTTGATTGTCCCATGTTAATTCTATGGGCTGCTTCGAATGCAACTGCATCAGAATCACTAGACAGACAATTAGCATTACAAGTGGCCAGGTAAACACTCGAGTTTGTGACCACTTGGCTCGGAATCTAGTGTCGTCCCGATTGTAGCCAAAACCTCATTAACATTTTAGCGCTTCTCTGCAGTTAATTAATTATTGATGCAAAGGCGAACAGCGCCAGCTAACCATGTCATCCAACTGTCTTGGAGCTGTGTCTTCATCTAGCATCCTGTAATATTCTGTTATTGCACCCCTGTAAGTGAATGGTGACTATTTTATGCTGCGGAATAGGCCCAAGCAAACACACATAGACACATACTCATTAAGTGGTTCAACGTGAGTGTGTGTGTGTGAGAGGTTGTGTCAACAAAGTTCTGTGCCATTTTAATTTGTATCGCCCCATCTCTGCCGACTCCCTTCGTCAGTGTACCATTTGGCCCCTTCGATGAGTTCTGCTTTCTCATTTTTGTTGTTGTTTTTGTTCGTTTCTTACAAAGCTGGTTGCTGTTTTGTTACAGTGTTTTTTTTCTTTTTTCGGCCACTTTTTGTTGACTATATTTTGATAATGTTAAATTAATTTTTTGCTTTGGCATGTTTTTATTGTTGTTTTGCTGTGAGTTTTTATTGCAGCGTTTGTTGTTGCCGTTTGTTGTCAGTTTAGTTGCATTTGTTAAACTCAAGTCAACTACTGTTCACTGTGTGTTGTCGACGCTACAGTGGTGCCACGTCGAACGATTCGGGACAAAATCCGATAACCGTTGAGTCTTCGGTGGACACCACTGCGCCCTCTTAAGCTAGCTAACGCGAACGATTCCTCATGTAGGAAGGGTGCCGTGTAGTTTTCTGATCCACCTTGATAACCACTTACTCGTACCAAGTTCGTAGATATTTCTAGGCGTTTGTGATAGAACATCAATTAGATGTTGTATCCACTGTATGCCGTTGTCCATTGTTGGCTGCTGTTGTTGTTGTTATTGGTTCGCCTGCATTGTTCGTTGGCTTTTTTGCCAGTTCTGTACGGTGCTGTTTTGCATTGTATTATTTTTGCTATTTAGCAAATTAAATGTTGTATTCTGTTCGTTTCGTTTCTTTCTTCGGCGTTGTTATTAGTGCTGCCACTGCCACTGCTACTGCCATGGGTGATGTTGTTGTTCTACTGCTGGTGGTGCTGAAATTTATGCACTTCAAAGAAAGTATGCAAAATGTCGTGACATTACTAAGTACGAGTCGAATATAATGTTTTTTAAGCATTTTTTGTTAGCAACGGTTAGTGTCTTTTTTGTTTCTTACTATTCTTCTTCTTCTGGTGTTTGCTAAATAAATTTTGCATAAGTAGGCCCATTTCGACATTTGAACAATGCAACCGACCAAGTTTCTTTTCTTAGTCAGTTGTTTTTTGTTTGATGGTTCGCCGTTGTTTCGGTCTTCGTCTCCGACTACTTCTTGTTCTTGTTATTGGTGCTCACTTTGTGTGGAAGTTGACAACGCATTTAGAGCCAAATTGAAAATGATGAATAGCCATACGACTGAATTGCGTCAAGAAACGGGGAGGGCCCTGCATGTATGGCGGGCGATTATGAGTCAGTAAACAGGGCCACGTACCAGGATCTCGGTACTCCCAAAAGCTCTAACGTTGTAGTTGACGCTATACGCTGCTCTTTGTCCTTTGTAACCTTCAGCTGCCATCATGACAGGCTTCGCCACAGAACTGTTCACTTCGCCGGATTGGGCGGAGACTTTTGGGTCTTGAGAAAGGACAAACTTTCAAAAATAGTTTATTCCTATATATGTACATAGCATTTATTAGGTTAAAGGATTGCCTGACTGGCAATACATTCAGTCGGGCAATCCAGGCGGTTAACTAAACGCTGCAGTTTCTTTCATTGAGGCCTTGTAGGGATGTCGATGCTAGCTTTGCTGTTACTCGCCTATGTAATACACACTGTTTCAATACATTCATATCGATACCAAAACATTTCTAAGTACAGAGTGTTCATCCTGTGATCTATGAGGGGATACCGTCATAAGGCAAAACGTTTATAGTGAAATCCCTATAAATGTCTTTGTAATGTTGGCGAACATTAGATACAATGCGGTTGAAGGTTTACTTACTTTCCCACTCCTTGGCCCTCTGAATGGCAAATTTAGCGAAGACAGCTAAAAACTTTAATATCAGCCTAATTAATAAAATTGAAATAATTTTTCAAACAAAACAAAATGTATAAATATCACGTGCCGACGAAAGTTGAGACCGCGTTCAGGCATGGCGAGGTGTGGCGGGACTTGGGGACGACATAGTGTCTGGTATATGCATTGCTAATATTTGGCAAGGAGGAATGGTGGTGGTGTGTGTGTGTGTGTTTAATTTATTTAGTAACTTGCCTTTGTTGTGCATAACATGGCATTAGTTTAGCCTTTATTTCTAGAGTGGCGGTTCAGTTGACCTTTTTCCTTTAGTGTTTCACTATCGACGGGGGTACAAGTTGGTTTAATACGCGACGACATAATAGCAAATGCAGCCGAACTTATCATATTTTGAACTTTTTGCGCTGTTCCGTCTTCATTACGACAGCGAATATAGTATATCGCGTAGCTTCGTATTAGAATACAGTTTCCGTGTTCGCTGGCACATGGCGTGTTAGAGACGACATAAAGGCAGTGCATTGTGCAAAAATGTCGGTGTTTGTGCTTTTAGTTGAATACATCTGCATTCTTTTACTAACAACTTTGACACGCAAATGCGGTTAATTTGGGGTTCTCGCAGCAGAACAGCCGAAAATTAAAACATTCCAGTGACGTTTTAGTTTTGAAATGGTCTTGACTTATGACTATATGAATATTTGGACTTACCTTTAACAGATCTCTGAAATAGGGACTGCACGCCGAGAGCACTACACGGTGAGCTTTGATACTGCGGCCTTCGCAGGCCAATGTGACATCGACGAAGTCCTCGTCATCTCTGAGATTTTCGAAGGCCGATGTTATGCTACTTTGGTAGTTGTTCCAGCGAAGACAAAAGTGTTGCGTTTCGTCCATGGCGGCACTATTTTTGATGATGGCGTTCTGAGATGCAGACAGTTAAACGCGGATGTAGTATGACGTGGTTTGGTGGCACGATTTGCCCTTATACAAATTTAATTTTGGTGATTTTTTCCTAACCTGTATAATTTGTTTGTTTCATACGAATTACGACTTGTTGCTGGGATGGCCAATGGGTGGCGTTGATGACTTAAATGTAAAACTGCAATGACAAAACGAGAAACAAATTGAGTGAGATCAACAAAGTATGATATTGTATTATCATATAAAATATTAAAACTAAATGTTGGAAATACATTGCATTGGTAAAGGGTGGTTAAAATGTATCATCGCCGAGTAGATCTTGCTTGAGTTATTCTTACATATATTTTAATTGTTTCCAATATTTGTTGAACACAGGTACAACGCACATTTACGCATTTATACATTTTGACATAGTATTCTTACTATTTATTGGCGCTCCAAGCCTACGCATAAGGTCAGACTGTAGGCAAATGTAGGACAATCCTACTTTCGGGTTTTGTTCTAAATAGGTGTAAACATTTACAACCCTTTTCAAAAACTAGCATGAGTATATGGGAATATTCAAAAAAGTTGTAAATTCCTTTAAGCTGAGGTTCGCGACCGCATAACTCGCGAAATATTAAAATATTCCAAATACAATATAAATGCATTAATTTAAATCAAAGAGATCTAGTCAAAATCAATATTATAGCGATAATAAATTATAGCTTGCGTAGAAACTGTGTTGGTGTTAATGTAAAAATAAGAGTGAAAATGCACATACATGTGTTCAACGACTAATTTGAAGAATTACACATAGGCAATATGGTTCTGATGTATGATTTCTCTATATAACCGTTTTGAAGGCAGAATTTTGGCGTATTTGAATTTTTCATATAATCGTAACGAGTTAATTTGCTAAACTGGCTATGGGATTTTAGAACCCCTGATTCTGCTTCGTCTAGTGTATATCTCATGAATGTGCTCGCCATAGGTTCTTAGTAGTTGGAGACCAAAGACCAATATTGGGTACGTACACTTTTATTGAAACCCTATTCTTTGGGCTTAAAACTTACATTTCCCATTTAAGCGACATTGATATTTTAGTATTTTTACGTGCCGAATCGAATGAGCCAGCCACGACAGAGATAAGTACTTTGAAAGCAGGAAAATCTGCAAAATCGAATTTAGGCAATTTCGCGAATATAATCGTTTTTATTTGGCTTGATTTTACAGACATACAAAAGTGTATGAACATAATAGAGAATTGGCGAAAGTGCGTCACTAAATGCAACGTCACGCAAATAATGTCCGTATTTTATTCTAAATAGCTTATGGTGCCACATCTGCAGTTCATATCGAATCGTTTTGGAATAGTTTTTAATGACGATTTTGACTGGAGATTAAAGAAAATCGGATGGGCATGAAACTCGTATGCACATAGCGTAAATTTTAGCCCTTTTTAGGGCTTGGCACCATGTGCTCGCAAAAAAAAATTCAAATAATTTGTTAATAGAATTTTAAATGATATTTGAATATTCCCATATTTTGCAAAATATATAGTTTGTAGAGCTTGTACATTGACCCAATAACATATAACTGCATTATTTTCACCGATTGCTTGCAAAAATAATAATAATAATAATAACAACAATAATAAACTCAGAAGAAAACAAACTATACGTTCTTTCTTCTTAATCATTTGTATAAATTTATACTTGAATTCCATGCCGAACAACAAACAAATGGCTGCTTAGTGTTAATAAACTCATTGAATCATTCCCGTTTGTTTCATGGTCAAGGTTTTATTTTTGTTTGTTTGCGTCTCGCCCCTACCCGTACGATCCCTCTCGCCCTCACCCGCTCTATTATGAGCAATATTGTGCAGCTATGGATTCTATTTGGAATAAAGAGTGACAGCGACGCGTTGCTACACAGTAGATCGGCGCTGAAGTAGTCTCTCTCGTTTCTTCAATGGCAACCATACTAGTTAGACAAACTGTGGGCCAAGGAATCGAATTGGAGTGGGAAACTAATTTTTGATCTTATTATTTGTGTGACGAGGTACTAGACATTTAGAAAAGAATGATGCACACACACACACACACACACACATATCTATTATTCGTCATGGCTGTTTTATTCTTTCGGGGGAACATTCAAGAAACCAAACAGACAGCAAAAGTACATACATATGTGTAGTTTGTCACACACACAGACACACTTGCAGTGTTCTACAAGTTCGAATATGTCGGAATGAGTGCGTATATCTATTTTAATGGGTCGTCCAAATTCGAACTGTGTAGAAAGTCTGCGAGAACTATTCTCGCCATTGTGTGTGTATGTGTTCGCGGTTTATGTGTTCGGCTGATTTGCCTTGCTCTGATTGAGGGGGTGCTGGCGGGAATGTTAGTTGAGTTTATAGTGAGTGCAAGGTTTATCTAATCGCCGTCGTCGCAGCGCTGAATTTAGCACGAAAGTGAAATTGTATTTTCAAGGTCTTTTGCCGTCGACCACTATCTCACCTTAAGATGTTGTTGTTGTTGATTTTGTTGTTTGTGTAGTGGATGGTGTTGGCAACACATCGTAACATTACTATTTGCATAGTAGATGCATATGAACAATCTGCTAGTTTTACACTTCTGTTTACACTATTAGTCACAGTGTTTATGGCATTGAACGGCCAGTAAAATGCCAAATGCAATAATAATTGTTTGTTTTCAATTCGCCAAAATACAAGAATATTTTTGTCAACGCATGTATATATGCACATATATAAAATTATTTATATATCTTAATGTGTTTTCTTTTATTTAAAGATCGCAGATATCGCACTTTCAATTTCAATTTTTTGTTATTTTTACTACCGTCCGTCCGACCAACCGACCGACCGACCGATGGACCGAATTAGACCTGGGAATATGCGCAACTGTTTGGACTAGCGTTAAAAAAGCGCATTAAGCAACTGCTGAGAAAACTATCCATCGCATTCACTTGAACCGCGCGAACTGCGCCCAATTTCACAAAAAAGAGCACAAGGCAAAATACCAACAATCAGCAGAGCAACAGCAACAGCAAAAGCAACAACAATAACAACCGCATACTACAACAATATCATTGTAGGTATTTAGAATACAAATCAGCCGTCGCCATCCAACAGGAGTTATTTTTGCGGGTGCTTGAGTGTGATTCGCGTCGCAGCAAAACGCAATTTTATTTTGGCTCACTCTCTTTTTCATATGTACATATGTTTGTGTATGTTGTTGATATGTAGTACATATAATTATACTAGATCAAAGGAGCAGAGTGTGCATGCATCTTGATTGTTTTGCTTGTCCAGACCCATACTCGCATACACAAATTCACTCATGTATTTCAGTTCTCAAAAAAAAAAAAAAAAAAAAAAAACAACAAAAAATTGGGAATAGAATAGCCGTTGTTTTTATTTTTTTTTTGTTGAAATGTTGTTCTCAAACGTCAAATTGCCAGTGTGTGAAAGCGTCAAGATTGCCTTGGACTGATCAAATTGTTTGCTTACACGTCACCCTTGACGGTATTGCGGCTAAGGAAGTTTAATTTACCCGTAATCGGGGATTGATTTCCACTCCGCATCTATTTTTATGCATCACACCAACAGAGCCATGCACACACACGCTCGCATTTTCAAGTGTGAGTCGCCTTTATTCCCGTAGTGCAAATTGCCAAAATACTATTTTTTATCTTTTGTTTGGCATACACATTTCACAGCGCTGCTTTGTGAGAGGAGAGAGTAGCAGCAGAGGTGCAGGCCATGCCATAAAATTCTATTTTTTTATTTTTGATTTGTTTTTATTTCATTTTTTTTTTGCTATTTTCAAGGTTAAGTTTTAGTTGTGTATAAATAATACTAAAACAACACACACACACTCATACATACAAACGCTGCTACTTTTGGAAAGTTTGAGTGAGTGTGCGGAATATTTGCACTAAGTAGATGATGAATTTTAAATAGTTTTAATCGTTGGCAAAAATTCCGTTCTACATCTATGACGCATATGTATATGCCATTGGTATTCCATTAGTCGGAGGAACAGTAAATCGTAAAAGTCAAACGACAATATATACACATATGCATGTGGTATTCCCCCCTCAACAAAAAAACCTACCACCTCAACATTGTAGACTAGTGCTCAGACCGTCTAATGCAAATCACCAACCTAATTGCATTTTACAAGGTCAGGGAAGCCCCTACGACAAGGCCAAACAAATAACAACATCGGACGGAAGAGGAGAAAAACAAAACAAAACAGACGTAATAGAAAATGCAAACACTTGTTGCTAGACCCGTTATAAAGCCACACAGACCGAAAGCCAACAGCAAATGTAAAGTAGTTAGACATACACACACTTACGTGCGGAGCCAAGAGCACACATATCCGTATATTTTTGCCACAGACCAGCAGCAGCCAACAAAAACTACACACATTGACTTTAGACTCCGTATTCAACAGACGAATGAATGTTCGTCCCTTTGAAGAATGTTAGAGTTGGAGGGGTCTCCACAAAACGCACACACCAACACACATATGCATGCCCTAGCAGACATCGCACATCCGAAAGCATTGTAATGTTGCATATTGCGGTGGTGGTGGTGGTGCTGTGGTGCACATGTTCGGTATTAGGCAGAAAGAGGTGGAATCAACAACAACAACCATTCTGCAAACTAGATGTTCACGATGTAGTCGTCGTTGACGTGGTCTGCGCTAGTTGTCGTCGTCATCACCATCATCTCAACTTACAACGAAGCCAACAAGTCAGCCAGCCAGCCAGCCATTCATTCATTGCATCTAGTCGACAACTAGTTACTCCACTCCGTCTGGTTGGATGTTAGTTTTCCATTTGCTTGGGTGTTTGTGCGCACTTTTCATTCATTCATGAATCCGTTCTATTCAAATGATGGCCGTGGCGATGGCGATTGCGATCACGACAAGCATGACGATGTGGAAATGCAACAACCAAAACTACAAGAATTCGAGAATAGACGCAACAGCACTCTATCTAGCACTGTTGCA